CGAGCATGTTGGTGGATTCGGATCGAACCCGCGACCCTCAGATTGTTAGTCGAGCGCCTTATCCACTCGGACCATGCCAGGCACTTTATAAAGTACACTCCAAAATAATTCTCCGAAGAAATTACTAATGCTCATTTTTTTTCAAGTTGCAGCTGTATGGAGACTGAAGTCATTCAAACATTGGCCACGAACGCCACGTGGAACACCTGTCCACCATTACAATGTAACAATTAGAGCACGTGAGGTAGTACAGTCAAATAAACCTTGCCCCTCCCACTTCTAATTACCCAGATGGTGCTTAGCACGCTACAACCTATTAATTAGCCACTTATTTGACAAACGTGTCTCTGATCTATAGATGTTAAAACAAAAAAGACAAGATTTTCAGATACTCTGTAAGATCAGCTCCAGCAGCAAACGCGATCCAAATATTTTGAGATCACCTGGAGCTTAGCCAGCATCTACAATTTAAAAAATCAAAAGGTATGAATACAGAAACAGGCACAATATCGACTTCAGGTATATTACTTTATGATCATGTGCTGAAAACCCTCACAATCTGGAATGTTTTATTAATATATTTACTATACTTGTGGTCCAGACAGTGACCATCTACCTAATTGTAGGTTCAACTATAACAGCCACTTTATGACTCACTTTGGTTGGTTAACATTTTATATGATGAAATACCATTTGTTGGTCAGACATTGCGTTTTAAACGACTAAGAGTTTTAATATAGCAGCTTTGAAAAATAAACTGACTGTTATTCAAGCCATATTTACACTTTGGTGATTGGTGTTGCTATATTTAGTTTGTACAGCGATGTTGGGACTCCGTTGTATAGGTGACTTCAAAGTCTTTGAACCAGCGTTGTTGTTTATTTATTTTACAAACACTTTGCAATAATAGCAGACGTTAGATATACACACCATTTTCAATAAAACCATCAGTGAAGTTTGTCTGAAGATCAAATATAAATTACCTTAAAAACAGTTTTATAATCTTGATTTATGAGGTCATATCTCGTAAAAAAAAAATATCACGCCTCTCTCCATACGATTTATGTATAAAGATTTGGTCATAGTTTTATGACAAGAATCTTGGGAAGAACGTTGGAGAGAAACTCCGTGGACTGTTCAATCATGGTGTAAGGATTGCTGAACAAGTAGCCATACTATAGTTTTATTGAATGCATTTGTTGTACCAACAACCCATTCAATCAAAGTTAATTAGTAAATTTACGGTTTCTCTTGTTCCCGGAGCAGGTCAAGTAACCACAGCGTCAACGAGAGAAAACTACATTGGTAATTTTAAGAACTTAAATGAAAGTAAAGAAGAATATGACAACCGCACTGTATGTGCTATATCCAGATCGGACAAGGCCTGTCGCCCAATACCAGGACTCATCAGGCTGACTGGTATACAACAGACATAATAGTTATATCATTAAATTTCAAGAACAACAACTGTTATGGTGTGAAATAAATTGTGTAAAGGTATTGTAATTACTAACAATTTTATTTAAATCATTTGCAAGTCAGAATTAAACTTAACAAAACTGTGAACAAAATACGTATCCCAATGTTTTCCAGTTGCAACTATTAGCCTGCACCTTATTTGTAACAAGCTGTCAGCTAGCTCTTTGCGAAGACTGAATCAGTACATGCGAGCCATAATGAGTACTGAGAGACTCTCCGCTTTATGATGCGAATATTGGCCTAGGCCTTGTGGTGAACATCCTAGAAGTGTAGAACATTGTCTATAAAAAGTGAATCTTATAATCAGCATTCGAAATTGCCGGCGCCACTGTACCATTTGCCATGGGTGTAATTTTGGTTGTAGTAAACTTCAATATTTGCGATGGTTCTCCTATCTTAGCAGTAGAGAAATTTTAGTACACGCTCAATCGGAAAGTGTCCGCATAACTTTTTTTGTTTCTGTAAACAAACAAACAGGACCATACAAGCATTTTACTTTCAGTTATATTATTGCAAAAATATTACTTTTCCAGCGAACTTCAGCTTGTTTACATTTCAATTATTCTCTTGATTTTATTTTCCTTCATCTTTATTTTTATCACAGCAAAATGGTCGCGGTATATATATTTATGTTTGCTTGTAATTAAGCACAGACCTACACTGTGTCACTGGGGGCAATATATATTTATGTTCAGTATATTTTATGTTGCAGACTCTGTCTAAAAGTTAGTTGAATTTATACCATAAAAATAGGTATTGATTTTGGAATTGTTTTCTTTTTATTTGTTATTTTATATCCTGTGATAACGTACAGCGAAGGGTGAAATGTTTTAGTTAATTAATATGTTTATAAAGCAACATTTGAAAGGATAAATCTCAAGTAGATT